AAAAAAAAAAAAAAAAAAGGCCATAAAGAAATCTAAATAGCAATTCAGAAAGACATGGATTTGTGACAAAGTTGTTCTCCGCACCTGTGGTAGGGGAAGCACCGAGAGAAAATCTAAGATAAAATAGCATCGCAAGTATCTTTTAGCGATTTGTGCAGAATCTATGACAAGTTCACCTCTTCCAAAAACCCGAGATGATGGGGCAATATAAGCTGTCCGGAATTGGAGAGCCATGTGAATGAGATAAAATGCATCGATAACTGTGCGCAAAGTTGTAGCTGTGATAGCTAGCTTTCGGTCTATCCCTAGGCATTTTGATGATTTATCAAAAACAGGAAGAAAGAAAAACAGTGGATCCACAGACACAGCTAGAATACATGATATGACAAAAAGCTTGTTCCAAAGCATAAGAAATTTGTCCTGAGGGTCAAATATCTTCTTCTCAGATGCATTAAGATCTTCTGGAAACACTGCCGGAGAAACACCAAATCCCAGTGATCGTCCGATTGACTTGAGTCCTTCAGACCCTCTCCTCATTCCTCTCTTGAACGACTTAGACGTAGTAGCTGTATGACCAGAATGGCCTAAACCATCAATGCTGAAGCCACATTTGTTTGTTGCAACCGAGGCTGATGGGGATGACAGTCTATCATCCAACCTAATCACAAAAATCAAACAGATGCAGATTACATTCCAAATAGTAGGAATCAGGCCCAATCTCTAATTCTTTGACATTAAGGAGAGAGGTTCCATCACGGTTCACAAATTATTTTATAACCTAGATTATTTTACGTATTTTTTCATTTTTTTTCCTGCCTATGCATGGAAGGGGAAGGAGCAACAGAAGACACCATTTTTTGAACTAATTGAAGAATATAAATATAATGTTACAATGATGACAAAGAATGAGAAGAGAATGATAGTTATGAGTTGGATGAAAAAGGAATCAGATATGATGATGAATCCCTTTACTTTCTTATTAGTATCGATGTTTTAGGAGTCTTCAGGGTTGTTTCTACATCAATAGTAGATGACATTTTCCTATGTGATTAACAAGATAAGAAGTTATTTATTGCTTTATTGATCAACTATGTTTGTTTGCAAGTTAGACATTAAATTTTTTTTTTTTTAATACTATTATGGGTTTTGAAAGATCATTTATGGTTCGTTATGAGCAATTTTTTGTATTTTTAAATTCTTTTGAATCATTTATTGGTTTTCATGAGGTGTACTTGAGGCTTACAAAACGCCTCAAAACTTATGCCTCGGTTCATTGAGATAAAATGCATTGATACCCAAACATTGCCTCCTATGAGCATATGCAGTTTTAAGAATTCATTCTCCGATTAGTATAATTTTGAAACGAGAAACTTTCATAGACATTGGAACATATATATATATATATATAGAATCTTCTTTGTTCTTTCAGCAATCTAACTACGGAACCCTCCTTACTTCCAGGAACGTAGCTTAGTGAAGGAAGCTAATGAAACATCACGTGATGGACTTTTCCACCAAACACTAATGCTTTGACAAAATTCCATAACAAGCTGTGAATTCTCATTTCCTAATAAGCGCGAGAACAATGGAAAATTAGAATACCTTAGAAACTTTTCCCTCTGTCCACCAAGATATTGGGTCTTGGAGCCGCTATCAAACATTTGTAAAACCAATATAAATACAACTGCAAGGCAAACAGAAAAGTTGAAAATTAGAGAATGCTAGAAGGTACCAAATGATAAATTACTCAGCATGCAAGATTCAAACAAGAAATTTATATTAATGAAACTCATCATACACCATTTAAAACATTTTTATGTCTTACAATGAAATCAACCAGTACATTTTGGTTTTGATAAAATAGAGGAGACGGAAAGGAAAGAAACAAAAAGCAAGGAAGGGGGCATCATAAAGTATGCCAAAATATATGTTATTTTGTGTCATTCTATGATAGCCAATTATAAATCACGGTTATATTTCTGAATGCAAATGCGTTGTTAACTTGTAGTCTCTCTTAAGTTAACTTTTAAACTTATCGTTTATATATAATTAATATTTTCAATGTCAAACTATTTCGATCTAGATTTGTGAGACCCAATGACCAGGGTGGACAATTAGGCCAATGATAGTACGATACAATCGCGTGGGATATAAATATACCATGCTTAGGTCACAAAAAATAAAAAGCCTTCATTACTAAACAAAAGCTATCCTCACACTTAATGTTGAATGACTTTATCTAAAAGCGTAGGATATTAGAAAGGGTCATGCGTATATTATTTAAATATTATCTCCAATATACCCCCTCACGCATGTGCAGACAGGATTCATTTTTCAATTTTCATTAAATGGGTAAAGGTGAGACTTAAACTCATAACCTTTGCTTGCTTTAATATTATGTTGAACCACTTGATCTAAAAGTTTAAACTATTAGAGAAAGGCTACCTGTATACCTTTTAAATATCGCCTTCAACGCTTACTTCCACTTATATGTGGTTAGACAATTTCCATTACAGAATCTTCGAGCAAGAACATTACATTCCTTATGTTGTTACTGCTTTCTCTACATAGCCAATACTTTTTGGGCTCAGACAGAAAATATAAACCACATTGATATAAATTCTGATCCATCTCCAAAGCAATTCCCATTTTCTCTTCAAGAAAATATCACTCATTTTCAAATAAGTACAAGAAATTACGTTATTTTATTATCACAAAACCTCTGCTAAACATATCAACTTTTTCACGGCAGAATAAACAAAAGCAATTAGTAGAAAACGTGCACTATTTCCTGGAGTTGTTTTCTCTGATAAACTTAACCAAGAACCTAGAAACTATAGTTCTTCAGAGCCTAAAACTCTTTTCCCTTGTATAATACCATAAGGGTGTGATTGATTGGAAAATTTTCCATGGAAAATGGCCTTTTTCCACCCAAATTCCAACTTTTGGCGCATTTGATTGCCATTGTTTTCCATGGAAAATATTTTCCAATCTTTGAAAATATGCCTAATTTTCCTTGTTTTTGAGGAACACACTTTCTTTGAGGGGTAGGTTTTTGTTTTCCTCAAAACAAGGAAAACATTTTCTTTTCTAAGAGACATGAAACATGTCAATCAAATACACAAAGTTCTCAACTTCTGATTTACAATAACAAATAAAAAACACTCAAAAGGCATTAAGATGATAGGAGAAAAGCTAACTTAGAAGTCAATAATCTGCGAATGTCATTAAAAGATTCAATGGAATAACCAAAAAAAAAGATGGAAAAAAAAATTCAACACCACAGCATATCTATACGAAAACAGACCCTTTTGCCTTTAAAAACCCATCAAATGTCTTCAAGATTTACACAACTGATTCTAAGCTCCAGAAATTGGCAACCTCTAGAGTCATGTAGTTTGAAAATCATTAAATTTTTTTATTTTTATTCTTGGAATTTCAACCATACCGAACTTTCCATGAGTTATGCTACATATACAAAGTTGGGTTACAAAATTGGTTGACAAAATAACATCTACACCAATCATTTTAAAAACAGACTTTTCAATCATTTGAAATCAACGGACTGAATTTTGCCAACACACTTTGTAACCCAACTTTTGTAACTCAACTTTGTACAAATAGTTTTATTGAACTTTCCATAAACCTAATAACAATTAAGAATTCTTAAAAATTATTTCCTTATGAAGTTACTTTTAAATCAATTCTCTTAATAGCTACAATTAACATGATAAAGGTGAGAACTTTGTGCATATTTCATAGTCAACTATCCTTTTTTTTTCCCCTTCTTCACAACTCTACATCCAGAATTACATGTAGTCGAAAATTTAAAGCAGCTATAAAAAAATTAAATCATAAAAAAGGAAAATAAGCGCGCGCTAAGAATCAAACGTTTAGTCTAATTGTTCGGTAATTAGCAGAAAAAA